GCTCATTCAACCTGTTTATACCTGATGGGTTCACATTCACCAAACACTTACTCAGTGATGATTACGGGCTAGGTGCTTGGTTCCACACTGAGGATATCAAGGTCAGTAAGACTGACATGGACACACAGTTCACATTAAATGTATGGCAAGGAAAATACACGGTCTCATGGGACCACAGAGCAGCAGAAATAAGCCCACTCTGGAGAACTGGATAATAACTCCCAGAGGATGGGAAAATGTACATAAGACCCAAAGGATTGGAAGGATTTCGCCATAAAAGGCCTGAGGTGGAGTAAGATTAGAAGGAAGGGAGAACATTCCAGGCAGAAAGGAAAACATGCCAGGCCCCGCTGGCTACAGGAAGGTGGGGGGTTCACGGACCTGCAAAAGAGGCTGGTGATGTTCAGTGAGGTGCATACACCCAGTGCAGGGCGAGCCCATGGAAGGGCTTTCTTCAAGGGACTGACTCCCAGCTCTGTCTTCTAAAAAGCACACTCTGGCTGTGAAATGTAAAATGGTTGGGGGTAGAGGGTGGCTAAATCCAGTTAGGTGTGTCCTCCAGGCAGAGCTATTCATGTTTTAAAATGTGTGTTCTAGAACAAGCTTGAGACATTTCAGCACACTTCTTAATTGAGCCATATCAGCGAGATAGTGGACAGGACAGGACAGGGGTGTGTAGTGGGTTCAACTGTATCCTCCAAAAGAGTATGATGAAGTCCTACCCTCCCAGAACCTAGAGCACAACCTTATTCAAAAATAAGTCCTTTGCACACATAATCAAGTTGAGGTCATACTGGGTTAGACTGGGTCCCCCTCCCCCCAATCTGATAATCCAATCCTGATGTCTTTATAAGGAGGGGGACATTTAGAGAAATACAGGGGCAACAGAGAGAAGGCCGCGTGAGGACACAGGCAGAGATGGATGGCTGTCATAAGCCAAGGGACACCAGGAAACCAGCAGTACCATAAGAGGCGAGGGAGGGGTCTTCCTCAGAGCCCTTGTGGGGGAGTGTGACCCTGGCAACACCTTACTGGACTTCTGGCCTCGGGAATGGTGGGATAATAAATGCTTATTGTTTTCAGCCATCCAGTTTGTGGTATTTTGATACAGCAGCTGTAGGACACTAATACACAGAAGAAAATTTTGCTTTTAGCCTTAAGCAAAATTGGGAAGAAAGGCCTTAACCAGACATAAAGGACTAAATCAGAATAATAAGATAGTTAACTACCTTACAAAATAAATCTTCTGGGAGTTAGAATCTATTTAGGTCTTGAATTCAGTTTTTGTATTTCAAAACTAGGAACTCACGAGGTCGTCCAGGTAGGTGTAGTTTATAATGAGCCGATTATATTGAGATATTATTAGGCACAAGTGGAGATTATAATAAGTGATTATTCATCAAACTATGGGTAGAACTTGACAACTCATTATTTTTATGATACAATATTACTGTGTCAGGTCTGATAGATTCCCACATCTCCACTACTCTGACGGCAACGCTGGTTTAGTTTGCCATCACTCGAGTACGGTAGTTCTCAGCTGGAAGCTATTTTGTCCGCCTCTCCAAAAAATATCCGGAGACATTTTTGATTGTGACAGCTGAAGGAAGGTGCTCCAGCAAACAGTGGGGACAGACTGGTGATGCTGCTGAAAGGTCTGCACCGCACAGGCCAGCCCTCTCCCAACCCTAATAAAACGCCAACAGCGCCAGGGTTGAGAAGCTGGTCAGTCCCCAGGTAACCTCAGGGCAAAGCTTCAGATACCTTCATGATCTCATTCAGAGCAGAGTAAAACTCAGAATGACTCACAAGCAGCTCAGAGCTATTGAAAACTTGAAACTTTCTTTTAAAGAGCCAGGCAGAGTGGTGGATGCCCAGAGCCCCAGCTACTGGGAAGGCTGAGGCAGTGGGGGTCATCTGAGGCCAGGAGTTCAAGGCGATAGTGTGCTATGATTGCATCTGTGAACAGCTACTGCACTCCAGCCTGGGCAATACGACCAGATTCCCATCTCTAAAAAATTTTAGGACTTGGAATAGTCGATCATATATACAGCTGAAGGACATGTCCCTGACTGAGACCATTATATATAGTTAACTATAAAATATTTCACTATTTTTTCATTTTATAAATCTTTTTAGAAGTAAGCAATGAAATACTACTTTCATCTTTTGAAATGGGATTTTTCAAGGCAATGCCCTTTGGCATTAAGATAGGGGGGAGTTATTATTCTGTCTACCCTGTTTCCATGTGAATCAATATAAAGTCATGGACATTTAAAAATATCAATTTAATTTCTACTTATTTACTATGCAGTATAGCCGTGAACAAATAATGTAGATTTAGTTTTCTCATTTTCAAATGCCCTTATCACCCTACCTCACAGGGTTGTTGTGGGGGTAAATAAAACTTTTATGGAAGCAAAAAAAAAAAAAATTAAATTTTCTTTTAATATTCTAAAAAAGTAAAAATTCCTATCCTTAATGACAACCCCAGGGCTACTAACCACGCCCAGTTCTGCAGGGACCAGGGGTAATACATTCTCTGCAAAGCTGAGGGGCGCGGGGCACCTCAGCAACCCAGAAACATGCTCGGCATAAACCCTCTGCCAGCCGGGACTGGACGAAGAAGAGTAACTGCCCTCCAAAGCGGCCTCTCCTACTAGCTGGGAAGCCTCCCCTAAGTGGAAAACCACTGGAGACCCAGCAGCTAAGCCTCTGAGTGAACCCTGGCATTAAAATTAGGCAGTGGTTAGTTGAATCAGTCCCAAAGATCTGGCACAGGTAATTACCCTTTATCTGTACCTCATGGCCAAGCCTAAATTACTGCCTTACTTAAAGCTGGCGGATCTCCTCTGCTGCAGCCTGTGGCATGCAAAGCATCTGCAGCAGCCTCCTTGAAGCTGTAGTGTAAATACGGACGTGCATTCTGCACATTGTTACCCAACCCTACTTATCAAGCTCCCCTGGTCTGCCTGTCACCTCACCACATATTCAGCACACAAACAAGCTGGGCCTCCAAAGCTACTCCCTGAGTTAAGAGCACCCTAGAAATATTTTTAACTAATTTGTTTAGGTGAGAAAATCCCCGTTTGGATAAAGGCAAAATAAGGTACTCAGGTTGCCCACTCCATTGGAGCTATGTATCTTTTTCTTTCTTTTATTAACAACACCAGTTCAAATATACCTAAGCAAATAAATGTGGGCTACCCAGGAGAGGAACACTGAATATCATGGCAAAACCACCAGTGGAGGGCACAGTACACTGCTAAGTAGAACAGCATATATCTTAATCTTAACTATCAAGTATTTGTATTTATTGAGCAATTCTGTGCAAGGGCAAGAATAAAAGTTGCACTGTACTGGTTTAAATACTCTTAACGCTTTCATCAAGTCATGGAAGTCTTCATGATCAAAACTGTATTTATATTTAAAATGGGCTTGGTATTGTCAATGTCCATTTGTTCATTGAAATCAAAAGTTTAAAGTTTTTGGTACATTGAGACAGAACAAATATTTCAACAGCTGGAAGATGTTAAAAGTTCTGGCATTTGGAAAGACATATATAATTACTCTTCCCCTAAAAACAAAACATCTTGAAGAAAGCCAAGGAAACAGGCTATCTCATAGGAAACCAACAAAACATAAAAATACAACAACTATAATTCTTCTCCAATCTGTGTTTACAAAATCTACTGAGCTACTAGAGCTATTTACCCCAGGTAAGAGAAATCATTTTTCCTTGGAGATATGAAGATGTCATTTTCTTAAGTATAAAAAATAATTATAAGCATTTTAAAGTATTTGTCGTTGTCATATTACGGCTGTTCAAGTCAGACCCTACAAAGTTTTTGTTTCAGCTGAACATCTAAGCAGCTGAAATAATTCATAATATGGTCTGATTAAAAGGAGCAAAAGGAAAAGCCCTGTTTGTTTTAATTTAATGTGAATTCCTAAGCTCTAAGGTCAGCAACTCAACTTAAAATAGCATGTAAACAATATGCAGTTTATTTTATATTTTAATAAGGATCTGTTTCTATGATTCTCTTCACCTTGCCTACATTATATCCCATGAACTACCCTACTCCAATTATGTGCCATCAGTTCAGCCCATCCTCATTTCCTCCGTATGTGGAAATAACACACAACAGATTGATGGCTTTACTCTGAGTCCATATTCTAGGAAAGATGGGATATTTATATCAGTCTAGCAGGAAAATATTTTACATCCTTACATGCATAAGGCACATTTTAATAAAGAATGTTCCCTAGAGAAAGGCAGAGCAGAGGGTGTGTATGTGTGTGTGTGTGTGTTAAGAGTAGGAACTATTTGAGAGAAGAAATTCCGTAAAGAAAAGTCTTCCACAGTGTTCTTCCTGGGCTCCCGGAGCTGGACACAGATACACAACCAGAAGTCCAAAGTAAGAGGAATCAACATTCTGCCAATCAAGTTCCATCCCTGTTCCCTTCAGAAGGGAGGGGAGCACGGCTAACACCTTCTCAGGTACAGGGGAACTTCCGACTAACAATCAGTAAGGGCAGTGCATTTTAAATTATGTTACAAGGAGCACTGGAGTTGCTCTCCAGCCTATTCTCAACTGGACCAGTGTTAATCTGTTATACACAAAGGCTCTGTGGTAGAAGTTTCAAAAACACTTGATGAGAATATTGCTTTCCCAGGGACCGTATGAGAATTCAATGATAAAAGTGTGCAAACGCTTACAAAGCAATGATGGATTGCACACTTGTAAAATCTCAACAGAGCTGGCTAGAATTATGATGCCAATAAGGATTCAAGTCTTAATTTAAGCACAGATGCAATTACCATTCAATAGATAGAAATGATACATCCAACATCTCTAGCTTTTAGAAGTCCAGTGTGCTATCCACTGCGTGACGGAGCCACCTATCTCTAGCTTTTAAAGGCAGTGACTCCGATAGGCATTTGAATCACAGAACGTTAGAGCTGGATGTCTAACCAGCAGCACGGGATGAAGACTCACCTCTTCTTCTTGGTGATGATGAGCACGTCGTTAAAGAGGAAGAAGTAAACTTGCTGTCTGGACGTCCTTTTGGAGAAGAGCACCGTGTCCTCCACGTAGGCCGTCAGCTCACCTCTCTTTATCAACCAGCGGGAAGAGGAGACTAAAGGAAAAGGCTACAAAAAGGGGGAAACTCAGTGCTCAGAGCCTAATAAAAATCCTTGTAAGATTATAGAAAGTAAAATATAAAACCTGTATTCAAACAAATGACGCATAGCATGGTAAGCATCATTATTTTATAGACACGACACTGAAATCTAAGTACAGAAGTACAGTGCATTCGCCAAGGAAAAATGAAAAAGAATGATTTACCTTCCAATATAAAAAAAAAATTAACTTGTTGAGATGAAACTAAAATTTAATGAGAAAATGACCGAGGGTCAATCAAAAATGACAACCTTTCCATTAATTCTCAATTGGAAAAGAACACTGAAAGAAGGAGTCACTTAACTCTGGGAAGCCTGGTGATAAAATTTATCAGTGTCGACTGCACCTACTGTTAATGTCCCAAATCAGAATCTAAACATGGAGAAAAGCGTAAGGTAACTAACGAGAGAGAAAGAAAAAATCCCACATACTCAGGTGCTGCCGACGGACTGTCTACTTAGCCATACTCAGGAGAACACCCGCTGTTAAGTTTCTGGTGGTTTTTCTAATGGAGGTTCATCCCTGAAAACATCACACCACTTTCTGGCTGTGAAAGTACAGTTCTTTCCAAATAATCCACCATAATCCCACAGAAAAGGCTATCTCTAAGGAATTGAATACTTTTTTTTCTTTATTCAGTCTTGTACAAGCCAACTGGAACGCTCTCAAAACCACAGAATAATCCCTACCCTTCATAGCTCTTCCTTTCTTTCTTTTTTTTTAAGTTACCAGAAATGCTTACTGCCCAAAATCTGATTTAAAAGACTATCCTCCTAAGGAAGCCAAAGTTCTCTGACACACGAAACATAACGTAGTAATGTGGTACAATCACATGTCATCCTTTTCAAGGAATAATGATTAAAAATAGCTAAAGGAAATTGAAGATATTAGAGAGGAAATGAGAAGGCTAAGAAAGGATTTCATATTTCTTTAAAGCTTTATACAGAGCTTTTATAGGAAGGTGGCTCATTAGTTATATACTGTTTTCCTGAAAGTTTAAAAAGGAAGGTAAAAGATTATGACTAACCCCAAGCTTTTCGAAACTGCCTCCTAAGGGAGTTCACGATGTTTCCAGCCCCAAAAATCTCAAATCAGACGATTAACCAACAGGGACGGCTGAGACCTTAAAGGTCAACAGACAGAGAGAGAGACTGCTTAAACAACCCTCGAGAACCAG